GCTTCAAAAATTCCAAGTCAAAAAGACAGAAAATCCGATTTTTAAAAGATATTATGGACAACTCTGTGCTAATTAATTTTAAAACACATAAATGGGCAAATACCTTAAAGTTTTTATTAGATTATGTTTAGCTGGGGGCTTCACCCCAGCTCCTGGCATCCATTTTGGAATGTGGAGTAGAAAGTTCCCTGTCAAAGCCCCCTTCCCTGGGAGTTGCCTCAGTCCAAACTCCACCCCCGAAAAAGCTGCCAAACAGTGACCCCTCCCCAGAGAGGGTCAAGACCACTCCCACGGGCTATTTTAACAGCCCTCCCCTCCCCCCAGAGAATAAGCATGTGTTCTCCCCTTTTCCCTCTCCTGTGGTCTGGTCAATCCGGTTCCCCCTCCCCCCCTGCCTCCATGTTTTCCTGGGGGGCCACCCCCGGAGTGTTTGTATCCATTAAACCTGGACATCTTTTAGTTTGGTCTGATTTGGATTACTGCGTCGGTGGAGAGGTTTGTTGGTCAGAAAACACTTAACAGATTAAACTACATAGAAATTTAAAGCAAAACTCTAAAAGATAAAAAAAATTTAAGTGCTAGCCACAACAAGAATGCCAAGAATAAGTTTACCAGTAAATCTTGAAACAACTTCAAATAATAATTCAGATTCTACATGAAATAGTCCAAACATAAAGGCATCTTCTAACTCATTTGATGAGCACAGCTCCAGTGCTAAGCCTAACAAGGCCCCTGCGAGAATGAAAAACTACCTTATTCTCAATCACAAATTAGAGACAGAGGCCCTAAACACACGAGAAGTCAAGTTCAGCAACTGCATATGATTGACTACAGAGCAGGGAGGGCTCAGCCTGCAAGGAGCTTGTACCAAGCCCTACAACTTGAGCTATCCCTTAAAACCCATGGTGGAAGGAGTCAGGGGACTTTCCCAAGTTGGCCTCTGACCTCCGTACACGTGCTGCGCCACACAAGCTCCAAAATACAAATGTAAAAAAAGATCAACTGGGTTTGCCACATAATGCAAGGGTGGTTTCATATAAATCAGTGCATTATTAAAGGCATTGACAAATTTCAACACCTATTCCATTAACTTTTCCTGAGGGGTGGAAGGAAGTTTCCTTTAGTTTGACAAAGGGAACAACAAAAAAAGAAAGTAAGCAGCGAAATGCTGGAAACTAGCTTTAGAAGTCAGAACACCCTCTCCTTCAGCTGCCAGGAGAAAGGTCTTCAGTTTGTCAATGAAGGTTTCATTAACAATTCAGGAAACACAACAAAATAGAACTATGCCTTGCCTTTGATCCCAGTACTCCGGAGGCAGAGGCAGGTGAATCTCTGTGAGTTGCAGGACAGCCAGGGCTACACACACAGAGAAACCCTGTCTCAAAACAAAACAAAACAAAACAGAATCCGAGACATTTGGTTTCAGTCCCCGAAGTGAGCCCATGCTGCCATACACAACAAGCTGTTAGGCTGTGCTGAATCAATCAACATGGCTGTGCTGACCAACATGGCTGTGCTGATCCACATGGCTGTGCTGAACCAACATGGCTGTACTGAATGAATCAACATGGCTGACCTCCTGGAGCCTAGGCTCTACAGACAGAGAATGAACACCCTAGCCCCACAATATGCTACTCAAAAGCACTTTTGTTTTTGTTTTTCTTCCCCCACCTCAGGAACATTTTCTTAAGTTTTGTCTTGAGTTTCTGCTTTTCCTGATGTCAAGTGTGGGAGACCACATGGCATTTCAAGATTCTTAGAGGGAGCAATGTTTTCGGTGAAGCCTCTGCAGCTACACTGTGAGGCTTCTTCAAGTGGAGCTACAGTGAGATAGGATACGAGGAAAGACAGAAAACCCACGCAGCCACGAGTGGGTAGAATACAGCGTCTATGCTCTCAGCATTTGTGACCATCAAGACTGATCTGGCTGAAGGACAAACACAGCTTCAAGGAGCAGAAGATGGAAATCTGCTGGAGCTCGCCAAATACACGAAGATTCCCTCCCACGCCACCATGTGGGAGGAACCACCAATATAAATCACAGCTTGCAAATACGGTATTTATCTTTCAAAAATAAACTGCATTGTGAAGAACTCTATAGGCAGATTATATGGAACATTAAGAATATAATTTGACTATATTGTTTTAGCTGTTCAGAGCATGGCCACAGCAAATGACCAAGACTCTCAGCAAACATACTGGGGGGCAATTAGGAGGCCGTTTATGGAAGAGGACACAGACTCGTCACCTGGACAGACCAAGTGCATCACGGAACAAAACAAACACACCTTGGCCTATCGACTGAGACTAGATAACGCAGGGACTCCAAAGACACTGCCACTTACGAGAGGAGCAAAGTTCAGGGATAAAATGGTCTCACTGAGGTCACTCAGCTGTTAGTGGGGGTCCTTGCAACTCAAAAACAACCAGAAAAGCAAGGCAAATGGCATTTCATGTTTTGCTTGTCCTGATGTAAAATTAAACAGCAGCAGCAGCAACACAGCTTTTTTTGCTTTAGCATACAAAAAGTCTACACTTAACAAAGGCATGCCCAGCTGAGGTAGGAGAGCATGTTCTTCATGTTATGTCAAAGTGTTATGGTGACATATCTGCCAACGCAGTTCCAGGGGTGGAAGAACAAGGAATCTGTTTCTGTGTGTGCCTGCGCGCTCACAGGCACGTACAAGGTGGTGGGGAAACTGAAGACAAACTTCAGGGTCATCCCTCAGGTCCTGTTCCCGCCCCTCCCCCACCCCCAGCAGGGTATCTGACTGGGACTGGACCTGGACCTCACCAAGCAGGCCACAAAGGCTGGCTAGCACGCCCCAGGGACCTACTTGTCCCTAGCAGGAGGGTTACAAGCAGGGACCAGCATCCCTGGCTTTTTCACATGGGTTCTGAGAATCCAACTCGGTGGTTGTGCTTTTGCCTCAGCAAGCACTTTCAGACTGAGCGACCCCTCCCTGTAAGAATTTGCATTTTCCCTCCACCTCCTCATTCCTAGAGCCTCCAGTGTGCACTCAGCCCAAGACTGCACCGCTCTGGGAGAGGCCGGAGCACGGGAGAGCTCGGCTCTCATTTTGTTGCTGTAGGAGCTCACACACTGCTTCACCTTTCACCCCAGTTTCCTCGCGTCTGCCGTCACCTCCATGAGGTCTTGTAGTTTTAGGAGCATCATCACTACAGGCCAAGGGAAACCAGCAGGAAGTTCAGGACAGATAGGCCACTTCACACCAGAGTCATCTCGGAAAAGAAATACCTCGTGCTTCCCCTCTGCACCCGAGGGCAGGCCGTCACAAGTCCCGGGGAGTCAAACCTTCTTGTTTCTGGAGGGTGGGCAGCCAGGAGACTAGTCTATCTACAACTGATACTTGGGCTTCTCAGTCGGCCATTGTGACAACAGAGACTCCAGAGAGAGAGCTCTCCCTCAGCTCTGCGATCAGTTAATACAGGCTTTCACCTGCTCAGGGTAAGAAACAATGGCTGGGAGGAAAGTGAGAGCCAAACAGATTTAGCAAGGCAACTTCCCTTTGCCCATATTTGCTAGGCATTTCTAACACGGGACAGAATCACTACAACCCCCACCCCATTAGTAACTCCTGCATTGGAAATCAGTGAGAAGCCGTTTAAAAACACAACACCCAAACCAGTAAAATAAAAATGGAAACGTACAACTACTTTTGACCCAAAAATCCATTTTCCATAAAAACACCAACTCTCTTGAAAAAGAACGAGGTTACGAATATATGACAACTGCCGAGGCCTGGTGGCGGCTGCTCTCTCAGATGGGCTTCTGAGGCGGCGGAAGTTCAGGAACCTGCATGTCTGCCCTATTGCACGTCTCACCCTATCCCTGCTTGGTGATCATCCCGGGGGGGGGGGGGGGGCAAACAGCACAAATGCTCATTGGGGCTCTTGGCTTGACCACGGGAATGACCTCTATCACGTAGGTCAGAGTCAGTGGGGGCAGGGCTAAGGTTACCAACTGAGTAACCTCTGGACAGACACTGGGCTGAACCACCCACACCCTCCTTTCTCGTGTCCCTGACCCAACACATGGTGTGACTGACGTGAACAGTGCTCTCCACCTCGCAGTCCTTGGTAACGCCACTCCACTCATTTGTCATGATTGAGTTATCTCGTTATCCAACACAGGTAAAAATGTCTGACAGGCATTAGTCTATAACCAGCCAAATTCCTAGATCCCACAGAGCGGCAGCTCTCCACCTGTGGGTCACAACCCCTGGGGGGGTCATATGACCTTTTCACGGGGGTTGCATATCAGATATTTACATTACGATTTATAACAAAAAAACAATTACAGTTATGAAGTAGCAACAAAAATAATCATGTTTGGGTCACCACGACACGAGGAACTGTATTAAAGGGTCACAGCGTTAGGAAGGCCAAGAATCACTGCCACAGACAAGGAATTCAGAAAGCCAGGTTCCCCTCTCTACATTTGACAAATGAAGGACTCTAGAGACAATTTCCTCCAACGCAAACATAAAACTACCTAGGAGGAAACCAGGAAATTTGTACCCTAAAAGCAGATATTATCACTAACCGTTGATTGCAGAAATAAGCTAAAATCTGAGGAATAATAAATAATGCCTCCTAGAACTCAGAACTTCCCCAGGATGCAAACAGAATGACAATACCGCATGAACTGAGAGGTTCAGCTCAGTCAGAAACTTGGGGGTAGCCGTCATGGTCATGTGACTGTGCACCCAGGTCAAGCCATTCTCCTTTGCGGCTGGAGGCGGGTGGATGAGCTTCCAAAGGACGTTGCTGCAACCCTATAAACCATCTGAGTACTTCTGAACACGGTGGTCCATAACCAGCCCACACCCACTGTGGACCAGCAGTCTTACTTCACTGCGGCCTCAGTGAAGCGGTCACTGTACAGGTAATTGGCCACCAGGGTTAACTGCTTCTCTCCTGATGAGCAGAGGAACTCCGGGGAAAAGGAAGCAAGGACAGCCCAGAGCAGTACCCACCTCTGTTCTGATGCATACTGGCTTTCCGGCATCATCTTTGGCATTTGCAGGGGTTGATGTGGTGGCCGGGGGACCACGAACGTTTGCTGCTGTGACCCAGGTTCTGGAAGTGAGTGAGGGGTGGGGGCGGGACCCACTCCTTGAACTGGGCCGGCTCCAGGGGCAAGAGCTGAGGTGGGCAGGGTTGCCTGAGGTGGGGGAAATAGGGAACTCTGATGGGTGGGTGACAGAGGTGTGGTAGGAGGGGTTAATGGCTTGAACCCAGAGGGAGGCTTCCTATCGTAGGCACTGTAAAAAGAAAGAGAGAAGGCTCCATTAAGCTGCAGTCAAGCATTTGCATGGTAACCAGGTCCAGCAGAACACCAGTTTGCAGCCCATTGTTGCCAGGAAGTGACATCATTAACATAGTTAAATCGCTCCAGCCCTGGGGGAATATTTGTACCTCTGAAATGTGACAAGCGCTCTGCGTCAAAGGACGCCTTTAACACTTCTAGTGATTTTTCTCAAAGATAATTTTAGCCTCTGCTTCCGGTTTCCTTTTTCCCTCCTTCTAAAAGAATTCTCTGTGTCTGTGTGTGCAGGGGTGGATGGGTGAGGCTGGGAACTTAGGGGCCTTCTCCAGTCCCCTCTCCAAAATATCCCAGGGTTCCTCAGAACTGGTCAAAATCTTTGTGGAAGGTAACAGCACTTGAATTAAACAAGCCTTCTCGGGTTCCAGGCAGATCTGTGTTTACCTTCTGAGTGCAAAGAATGATTAAAATTAAAGCCTCATTCCTAGGGCCTGGATATTCTTAAGTAAAGGGCACAAGCATGGGGGCTTTTTTGTTTATTCTGATTTGAAGATTATTTCCTTGGTGCTTAAAGTTCACATTAACATATGATAGACAGGAGGAAGTGTAGATTACCTGCCTCACAGATCAAATGGCCCAGGATCCCAGGCTCTTTCCCTAGCTGGTCTTGGTTCCCTGTGGAGCTACAGCCTTTTAATGAAAGTTTTGCCTTTCGTGGATAGCCTTAATGAGGACTGGCTACACCTAGATTACCTGCAAGGCAGGCGTGCTCTGCCCCAGGCGTGCTAGACAAAACCTGGAACTCTGCTCACAGAGCCTCCGTGAGCAGCTCTCCCCGCCCCGCTCGCCTAGCCCCACCGCCCTTCCCTCACCTCCACTTACCAATAGTTGTAGAGGCACTTTTCTCCGTAGTTAGCACCAAGAGCCTGCTCGTGGCTACAGGATGACAACTCAGAGGAGGGGCTATGCAGCTCCCGCTTGATCTTGGTGGGAGGTGGAGCGTGAAGCACCACTGAAATCACAAAAGGAGCCAGGGAGGGACAGAGAGGACAGCAGTCAATAAAGGACCCCTTCTGAGTCAGGCCAGCACCTGGAACTCAAGGTCAAGGACAAAGGCCACACCTGGGTGTGACCTTTTGTTTGAAAACAAAGCAAGTGTGGGTGCCTACCCTTTCACCCAGCACTTAGGCTAGCCAGGGTTGTGTAGTGAGACTTCTCCAAAGAATCCTTTCTCAAAGGCTTCAAATGGCAGCGCTAATACATTTCTTTCTTCCTTTCTTTTTCTGAGACAGGGTTTCTCTGTGTAGCCCTGGTTGTCCTGTCCCACTCTATAGGCCAGGCTAGCCTTGAGCTCAGAGATCTGCCTGCCTCTGCCTCCTGAGTGCTCAGATTAAAAGCATATGCCGCTGCCACCACCTGGCTACAATATATTTCTTATTCAGAATCATCTTTTCAAATTAAAGGATTTTTTTGAAGTCTTTTTCAAGTAATTCTAAGTATTAGTTCTGAATAGGAAGCATTCAGGTTTAGGGGAATTAATGGAATATAGTAACTAAGCGGTCCTCCAGGGAAAGACTAACAACACAGTCTGTGGAGGACTCTGTGCTCACTGTGTCTGCCTGCTCCCAGCCTTTCCCAGCAACCAATCAGGAAGGGTTCATCTCCTTAACAGTGCCTCAGAACGTGGTACCCAGTGATGGTTTGGGCTTGTTTTGTCCCCCCTAAAACTCAGACTGTCTCCCCATGTAATGGCGATGAATGGCAGGGTCTCGATCGCGAGAGCTCCACGTGGAAGGAGCATTGAATGAAGAACTTTCTCCAGGGGTTGAATGAGCAACCACAAGGTCACCCTTCAGTGCACCTAGATAGCTTCTTGCTCTAGTCTCTTCCCATCTACTTCTCTTTCCCTCGGCTTAGCAGGAGAGAGAAAAATTCACCAAATACTTCTCAATTTCCAAAGCCAATAACCAAAATAAACTAGAGATACACATATACATAGTTACACATACATAATTATGTAGTCTTAATAAATTACCCAGTCTGGGTTATTCTGTTAACAGCAACAGAAAAAGGACTAAGACAATGCAAATGGCTTCTCCTGAATCCACAAAGCATGTACAAGTGGCTGGGGCTGTGTTTGGAAGCCCACCACAGATTCCACATGGGTTCTGAGAGGGCAAAGAAATAAGACTTTTCAAACTGAAGGTGATTTATCCACAGAGGCTCCACACTCCTGAGTACAGAAAGCTAAGTTTGCCCTTTCTGTCTTACCCAGCTGCTAAACTACTTCAGAGTGCCCCCCCCCCCCAAGCAGGACGAACCCTAACAAAGAGACTGTATCACAAGGGCTGTTCCTTCCAACAAGGATTTAAATGGCTACCGCCCGCCTAGCTACCTGCTGCTGGGTGTGTGAGGTCACGCTTCTAGGAGGACTACTTAACCACCTCACCAGGAGGCTAACCCACAGTAAGCATTTCCTTGACTCAATGTTGGCTCCTAAAATACTTTCAGGAGTCTGGCTAAGTTCTAGTGATTATACTATGTATAATTATCCTTTTCTTTCTACCGAGACTGAGACAATCAGTTTCTCTCAGAACGACAATTCAGACAACCTGAATCTGACCCCCAGAACACATGGCGGACAGAGAGAAGCAGCTTCTGACATTTGTTCTCCAATCTCTACACAAACGCCACTGAATATGCAATGGCACACACATGCATTAGCACCTACACCCACACGTGTGTGCACTCCCACTGACCCCCATACATGTGTGTACAGCCCCCCCATATAAAGACAAGAAAAGGCTGTCTTGCCAACAGACTGGAGAAGACGGATTTTCATGATTCCTTTCTTACATAATACCAACTGTGTTTTCCCGAATCCATGAAATAAGTTGAGAACTAGTGGATTATATTTAGACATCTAATATTAGAGTCTCTCTCAAGGGTTTCTGATGGTGACATCATAGCAGTCAAGAGTCAATTGCTATCAAATGTTTTCAACCCCCCCCCCCCCCAAAAGCAGCTAGGCTTCTCTGTTTGTGTTTTGTTAATAAATGAGAAACTTTGGCGGCCATAAGGATGGCCCCTCGGTCACAGCCTCTTTTCTTTTTCTTATTACTTTCCTGCTGTCAAAATTTCTGGTTAAAAAAATAATAACTGGAACAGTCTCAATACTCCAATTTAAAGAAAAATTATGTGTAGCCTTCAAAGTCTAACTTTGTCTAAAATTGCCATTTATAATCAGTTTTTACCTAAATTTAGAAATGATTGTGGCAATGTTAAATGTCCTCATTTCAAGTTTTAGAAATAGCTTCATTTTTACAATATTTTAAAGTTAAAAATTTTTTATTTTATTAACTAAAATATTCTATTAAAATAGTTAAAAATTTTAAATATTTTAAAATTACCACTTCTCCTGACAAGGCAAACTCTAGACTGCAAACCAAAGCTTCCCAGAGAGAAAACTTCATTATAATGTCAGAAAATTCACAAGCCATTTCAAAAGGCAATCTAATGCTGCTTGCTGGCTCCACCTCAGTCAATGTCTCCCACGATCAGGCTCTCAAGGAGTGGAAGCTCACGTTTTCTACCAGAAAGAGAGCAATCAGGAAATTCGGAATTGCTGTGAGGACGGTGCTAGGCTCCTACATTCCCAGTACTCAGGAGGGGGAGGATCCGAAGTTTGTGGCCAGGCTGGACGTGGTAAAGCCTCTCAAAACAAACAAACAGACAAAACCTCCCAAACTATCTCCCTTGCACGATTTATAAATTGACTCTATCACCAACCACTTTTTTTTTTTTTTTCTTTTTTGGGGTTTTCGAGACAGGGTTTTTCTGTAGTTTTGGAGCCTGTCCTGGAACTAGCTCTTGTAGACCAGGCTGGCCTCGAACTCACAGAGATCTGCCTGCCTCTGCCTCCCGAGTGCTGGGATTAAAGGCTTGCGCCACCACCGCCTGGCCTCACCAACCACTTTTAATGCTGAAGGCAGAGTCCACATTTACTCGTTAATTCTAGCTACGATTTAGCCATAACTACCCCCTCCCCTCATATCAATCATCTTGAGAGAAAAGGCATGGCAGAAAAACAAGTCATGTTTCACAAACCCATGTTGACAGCAGAGCTAGGGAGGCCTGACAGCAATGAGAGGGCCCAATTCCTCAAATTCTGTTGGATGAGGGCTGTGGGCGGAGCCTACTTGCAGCAGGTGCCAGTGGAGGGGGCGGGGAGGGGGGGGGAGAGACACTTAAGTCAGGAGTTCCAAAGAGGACGAATGTTCTAAGCTTGTGTTTTCTTCATCTGAATATCGCTGTGGAATAACCTTTCTGTACACTGAGAAGACATGTCACTCGGACTGGTTTAATAAAAAGCTAACCGGCCAGTAGCTAGGTAGATTTCTTGGGCAGAGAGGACACTGGGAAGAAGAAGGGCGGAGTCTCCAGGAGAGAGCAAGCAGTATGAACACTATGGAGATGAGGTAATAAAGCCACGAGGTAGAAAGTAAGTTAATAGAAATGGGTTAAGTTATAAGAGTTAGTTAGAAACAAGCCTAAGCTATAGGACAAGCTTTTGTTTTGTTTTGTTTTTTGTTTTCTTCGAGACAGGGTTTCTCTGTAGCTTTGGAGCCTGGCCTGGAGCTAGCTCTTGCAGACCAGGCTGGTCTCGAACTCACAGAGATCCGCCTGCCTCTGCCTCCCGAGTGCTGGGATTAAAGGTGTGTGCCATCACCGCCCAGCCTAAGCTTTTATAATCAATAATAAGTGTGGTTATTTGGGAGCTGCTAGCGGGACTGAAACTTGCGCCTATGCAAAGCTACTTTGAGAGTGAGGGAAATGACACAGAACTCTAATAGAGCCATATAAAATTGCATAATTTTATTCAGCACTTCAAAAACATTCAGCGCTCGCGTCTTCAAAGTGGACTTACTAACGGATGTCTAGCTGTAAAGGATGGAACTGGATTAAATGGAAGGGCCATGAACTTCCCAGAAGTCTGCAATGTTCAAAATGTAGGCTATTTGAGCTGATAAACATCTCTAATTAGAAACCTTGGTGCTCAACGGGAGATGGACCCACAAAGTGAGCTGCCTCCAGGATGGTACCGCCTTCACTCTCGGGAGCTTTCACTCCAGTACTGACCATGTGAGCGTGAGTGAAACAGCAAGGCCTCGTGGCACACACACACTAGAGATTTGATGTTTTAGCCTTCAGCTCACAGAGTAGTTGAGAGACTGCCTGGGGCCTCGGTCTACTTCCTTCAATCCCCTACACATAGGACCCCTGAGGCCCACAGGACTTGAAGGACTTGTCCGTCTTAGCTCCGCTGTGTGTAGAGGACACCAAGAGCTCCCTGCTGTCACTCTCTCAGCCTTCTATGGCATGCTCAGAAACAGAAGACACTCCATCACCTACTCTGTCCATTAGAAAGAAAGAGAGGACATGAACTCCCCCCCACACCTAAAACAATAAAAGTATCACATTATTCCAGGCTGAAAGTATTTGTGTGTGTGTGTGTGCGTGTGTGTGTGTGTGTGTGTGTGTGTGTGTGTGTGTGTGGAGACTGGAGGAAGGGCATTAAGGTATCCTGCTCAATCTTATTTCTCTGAGGTTCTCTGAGACAGGATCGCCAGAGTGGCTAGAGCTAGGCTGTAAGCCCCAGCAATTCTCCTGTCTCTAACCTCCGCCCTACCCTCCGCACAGTACACGACACTGGGGTTCGAGGCACACACAGTGAACACTGAAGTTCCAGGCACGCCCACAGTCACACCTGGCTTTCACTCTCCTGTCCTCACTCCCTCAGCATTTGAGGTTATAGGCACGCGCAGTCACACCTGTTTTTTGACCTGGGTGCTGGAATTTTGAACTTAGGATCCTCATGTTTGGTCAGCAAATGCTCTTAGCTGCTGAGCCATCTCCCCACTCCCAAAAGTACTCCTGAACAAAGGAAAATGGACAAGAACCAATAATTCTGGAAAAGAACAAAGGAGACAGATCGCAAAAGAGGCAACCAGG